AGTGCTTGTGTACAATGGCAAGTAAAGTAATGCTCACTAGGTTTTTTTTAGCAAGCAATGTATTTCACTAGTATCATCACAGGTTGAAATTCATGTAAGCAATCATTATATGCTTGTGTAAGGGTGACAGAAATGCAATTAGAGTATTTTCAGGCTACTCTTAAGGTGACATATAAAAGAAAACAAATAGATGAGAAGTGTTGCAGCTATAAAGAGCTAGTGCTATGCAATGATAGAGATCTTTAGATGTATGTGACAGAACAGGATTCACAAAGAGGATGGCATGAGCTTCCCTGGTAATCTCTTCCTATTAAAGAAAAAAAGGGGAAGTAAAATGGATTACACCTAGGCTATGAAGAATACCAGCCAGTGCTCAGTATTTTGAATACTATATTAATTACATCAGTGAAAGTGACACAACTAATAGGCTTAATTTCGTCTGAGGTAGTTTCTCTTTGGGGGTGGACAAGGTGATATATATGTATATATGTGTGAGTGTATACTTTTTTTAAAAAACAAAAAAACCAAAAAAAAAACCAGGGTCTCACTATGTAGTAGTAACTAGCTAGGAACCTGGAACTACACAGGATAATCTCAAACTCACAGAGGCACACCTGCCTCTGTGTCCTGAGTGTAAGATTAAAGGTGTATGTCACAATTCCTGGAGAGATTAATTTTTATTTTATGCGTTTGAGTGTTTTGCCTGCATGTAAGTGTACAATGTGTGTGTAATGTTGTATTTTCCTGGAAATGAGGTTGCAGTTGTGAACCACAATATGGGTGCTGAGAACTGAACCCAGGTCCTCTTCCAGAAGAATAAGGTCTGTTAACTGCTGAGTCATCTACTTAGCCCCTGAGGCAGTTTTATATAGATCATGAGCTAATTACAATGGTTATTTTTATTTTTCCCTTAAAGACAGGGTCTTACTAAGTATTCTAGGCTGGCCTGATAGTTGCCATTTAGTCCAGGCTGGCCTTGAACCTGTAACAATCCTTCCACCCCAGACTCCTGAATACTGAGACTACAGGTGTGTGTCACCATGCTTTTTAAAATTACAATTATACATAGGAAGTCTGAATGTATAACAATATTTAACGGATTTAGAATTGCTCCTTTTGCAGAGTTAAAAAAATCTGACCCACCAAGGTCATGTGACTTTTCTGTACTTTTAAACTTCATTGTAATAAAATGAGAGAAAAACTTATGCCTTTTTATCCATAATCCAGCTATGGACCACTACCTGAAAGGTTTGTACAGATGCATTCCACAGTAATGTTCATGTAATAAAAATTCAGCTATAAAATTACATTTATACATAGGAAGTCTGAATATATAACAATATTTAACGGATTTAGAGTTCCTCCTTTTGTAGGGTTAAAAAAATCTGACCCACGAAGGTCATGTGACTTTTCTGTGCTTTTAAACTTCATTGTAATAAAATGAGAGAAAAATTTATGCCTTTTTATCCATAATCCAGCTATGGACCACTACCTGAAAGGTTTGTACAGATGCATTCCACAGTAATGTTCATGTAATAAAAATTCAGCTATAAACATAAAAAAATTACATTTGTAAAATAAATAAATTACATTTGTTTATTCATTTATATCTTCTCCCTCCTCCCTCTCTCTACCCTCTCTTTCTCTCTCTGTGAGTGCTCCAGTATGAGTGTGGGATGGTCAGAGGATAACTTGCAGGAGTTGGTTTTCTCCTTCCACCATGTGAGTGCCGGGGATGGAGCTGAGATCATCGGTCTTGTTGACAAGTGCCTTTCTGATGAGCCAACTCTTTGAGACCTTGTCTCAAAAAGACAAAAAAAAAATTATCTGGTACAAATCAGTATATTTCTTCCTTCCTTCCTTTCTTTCTTTCCCCTTGGTCTTTTTGAGACAGAGTCTCCCTGTAGCCCCAGCTGACCTGAACTCGCTATGTAGACCAGGCTGGCCTTGAACTCACAGAGATCCGCCTGCCTCTGCCTCTCAAGTGCTGGGATTAAAGGCGTGCGCCACAACACCGGGCTTGTACTGGATACATTTTTATTAAAATTTTTATTTTTATTTAATGTGTATGAGTGTCCTGCACCCATATTTTGCAGTGCCTGCAGAGGTCAGAAGAGGGCATTGGATTCCCTGGAACTGGAATTACTGATGATTGTTAGCCACCATATGGGTGCTGGGAATTGAGCCCAGGCCCTTTGCAAGAGCAGTCAGTGTTATTAACTGCTGAGCCATCTCTTCAGGCCTACCAGGTAATTTTTAAAAATC